TTGCTCAGTGCTTTCGATGAAAAAAGTGAAATGTGTGAGTAAATCTTCCATTTTGTTAAAAAATAAGCCGAAAAATACCCATAATTTGTGATGCAAGGGCCTGCTGTAACTCACAGACTACTTCTGCAGCTATGCAGTTCGTAACTCTCAGTTACCTTGAGCAGTGCTGCACCGCCTGTTGGTCAGCCTGCTCTTGATCCCGGTGTTTGTTTTGTTTCAAGGGGCTGTCGGTTCAGTGGTTCTCCTGACAAAAGCATTTGAGCAAGGTTTTCGCAGTATCACTGCCTTGTCTCGAACATTACCCGTTTATATCAAGAGGAGATAGCTTACCAACTAGAAGACAAAGTCAATATTTATTGAAGGTGCCTTTTTTTGGAAAAAACTTTAGCTGCTTTACCAAAAATAAGTCACTTGAAAAAATTTTTTAGAATAGAAGAAACCATAAACACATTGCAGAAAAAAATATTTTCAGTTATTCTGTTTAAAATGTGTACGCGATAAAATTTCCTCGTAGTGTCTCTACTGAAGCCTTGATCATTGTCAATAGGCCAAAACAAGAAGGGTAAAAAGGGGCAAATCATGACTCAAATTATTTTCAGAATAATTTAATTTGCTGTTGCTGATTAGTAGCTCGCAGAACACTACTCTTTTTAGAAAATTAAAGTTTTTTGCATTAATTTATCAGCTGTGCAGAGCATTGGAAAGCTAACCAATTTTTAGCTTCGGCTGAACGATTTTGCAGAGTCCACATGTGTGGTATTGAAGTTGTGTGTTGTCATCGATGAGATGTACTGGCATAGCCTGCGCTATTTGTCCTCGTTTCACTCGTCGCATTGATATCCCGTCAACACAGCGCTGGAGGCATTTTTCGTGGCTCAGGTTATCGGATTTCGACTCGCTGGCTTCGGAATTGAAATTCTCAGAGGCGGTGCTTGTCTGTTTACCATCCATTGCAAAGACTAAACAAATAGAACAAATGAAGCCAAAGACGGAGTACAAGAGTTCGTGAAATGTGCGTATAATTTTACGCTGATCAATCGGCATAAGAAAAATTTGGGATTTTAAGCATATTTTTAAGCCGAAGACTTTATTTTGCTGGTATAAGACCATGAATAGTTTTTTACCGTATCTCAGTTCCACTAAGAAACAGAGCTACTGGAAAGTGCCTGTCGGAATAGAAGCTCACTTTTCAAGTGTGGTTGAATAGGAAGTGTGGATGAATTATCGCCAGGCTTTTTCAACCATGCATCACTGATCCCTGTGCCCAGAAAACATTGGAAGTTTTTCTGTAGTGTATACCAAAGTGCCGGTG